TAAAATGGTAATTAATTTTTAATCTAATATTTTTTATGTGCGCATATTTGATACAAATAGCCAATAGATTGTGAAAATGGCAATGTATTTATATTTCTGTTGAGAAATTGAAAAATTGTAAAATGTAGTGATGATACTAAAGATTTTCGATTTTTGCTTAAATGCTATGCATTAGTCAAAAGGTTGGGAACCATTGCTCTATTTTTCTCCCATTTGCATATTATCCAGAACAGTGAAATTTCACATATTCTTCTGCCGAACTTTCTTCACTTTATACTGGATAATTTTCGTTGCCAAAAATTCATCCGCATATCGAGCAGTAAATGTGTATTGAAAGTAAGATATATTCATTGTAAAACAAAGAATGGGTGTAGCCAAATTGATATCTATTGGGAATAAATCAAGACTTCTTTATATATAAATTAGTCTTATTTACGAGGCGTATTCGGAAACTAAGTACCGTTTTGAAAAAAAAAAAAAAAATAGTAAAACAATTTTTTTTGAATCCTATTTTATTTTTACATGAAAATACAAACTATTTTTCAACATAGTTTTCGCCAATGATCAAACACTTGTCATAGCGGGCGACTAGTTTTTGTATACCATCGTCAAAGAAACTTCCCGCCAGTTTCGCTAACTACGACTCCACAGCATTTTTCGTGTCATCGTTTTCGCATCGATTTCATGTTTCGTTTTTGCATCAATTTGGTTTTAAAAGTTTTCTCCCTCATCACTGTACTGCGTGAGAAATGTCAGGGCACTACCAAGTCGCTTAGTTTTGTGAACATCAGTGAGCATTTTTGGAACCCATCGGGAACACAGTTTGCGATCATTCAAGCGGTCAGACACAATTTCGAACAAAACAGTACGTGAAATTTGTGGAAATGCCTCTGAAAGAGTTGTCATTGTGAAGCGTCTGTTCTCATGAATTGCTTCATCAACTTTCCTTACCAAATCATCGGTGACAACTGAAGGCCGACCACCCCGAGCCTCGGCGTGGACATTTGTTCGACCTGCATTAAACATTCTTACCCACCATTCCATCACTTATCGCGTATTCACTGTAAACTACTGTCACTTGACGATAAACTTCGGCCGGTTTAACATTCCTCGCGTTCAAAAATTTAATCACGGCACGAATCTCACATACAGCATGAGAACTAATTGTCTTAAACATTTTGAATGTGCACAGCAAACTGAAAACACAACATAGAGCAGCCAAAATGGCGACAATTGAAAGTCAGTGAACAAGAAAGACTAGTGCGCATGCGCGGGACGCCTACCACAGCGCTGCGATGGCGCTAGAATGAAACGGTACTTAGTTTCCGAATACGCTACGTATAAAGCATTAATCACTTAAAAAAAAATACAGTCATTTGAAAAAACTGTGAATCATTGCAGTTCAGTAAAGAACAAAATAGGTCTTGCATAAAATGTACAAATTTTTTTCTGTTTTCTTAGCAATTTGTATCTATTAAAAATTTGGTTCACAGTTAGAAACTTCTATCTTCCATTTTATTTCAATATACAGTTCATTTAAAAAATCAGCATTAATTATTTTCTGATTTTTCTTCCCAGTTTAAGAAATGAGTGAAGTACATTGTGCTTTCAGACTATCACAATTTTAGGTACATGAGGCTTGTTACTTTCCAGTAAAAGGATTTTCGCGATTTTTATGCACTACTTAAAGAAAAAATTACATTGAAACAAAAAATGTTTTCAATATTGCAATTTAAAAAAATCTCTTAAAATCAAGCCAACATATGTTCAAAATCAAAAATTTTTATGACCATACACAAATACTGCTAAAGACAATGTGCGTGCATTATACTGTCAAATTCAGATTTTAAAAAGGTAATTGTGAAACACAGCCTAGAAACATGGGTGTCAAATTCCTGTTAACTTAAATAATAAAATTCAGAACCTTCTAACAAAATCTTCTGTTGTTTTTAGTAGAGGAAAGTTATTTACATCATTTCAATTGCTATGTATTTCAAAATATTTAATGCTGAAATAGTAATATGAAGTAATCATTGTAAATCAAATAATTCACTTCTTAAAAGTTTAAACATGTTATTTCATTTTTGTTAAAATTATATTTTAAAAGCTTTTGTTACACTGAACTGTGATTGAACTGCTCTTGTTCATATGACAATTTTTTTCCAAATCCCTGTGTGAGGAACAAGGAAATATTTGCTTATGTTCTCTCATTTACAGTGGTACCTTGGCTTATAAGCATAATTCATTTAAGAAATGTGTTCAAAATCCAAAGCACTTTTATATTTTAAAGGAAATTTTTCCATGAGAAACTTGTTCATATAAAAGTGCTTAACACAAACTTTAAAGTAAACTGCATAAAAAAATTAATCTGCATTTTACTTTCGAAAAGAATCATGGCTAACTATCAGAATTACTATTATATGATGCTAACTGGTCTTCTCTCCCTCCCCCTCCAACTCACACAATGAATATATCTAGTAACAGTTGCTTTTTCATCCATGTGAGGACTTCTCATATGTGTAACTTGCACTGCAGCTCATCATTCAACAGATTTATCTTTTGCACAGCTACATCCTTATTTCGTAGTACTTTCCTATAAAATTTTATACTCTTTCCTCACTTTACTCATTTCTCCCACCTCATGCAAAATTCCTTATTGTTTGTTGTGTGCATTGTTAATGTTATTGTTAATTGTCCAAATGTTACTGTTCCATCCATTTGCAACTGTGTCGTCAGCTCGCAGGTGGATGGAAGATGACTCAACTTGTGTACTATTCTAGTTGGAAAGTAGGCTGTCTCTTGTCTAATTGTGGATGACTACTGATGTGGCATGGGAGTGGTACGGCATATAGTCCAGCAAACATACAGGGAAAGGGACTGATATCCTACTTGTAGTGTCAATGGTATAGGCTGGGATCATGATCAACAGCCGTACGTCACTCTATGCACCTCCAACTGGGACTATAATTGGCCAACGATACATGAATGATGTTCTACTGACTCATGTTCACATGTTCCACAATGCTGACAGTAATAAATTTGTTTTCATGAACGACAATGCAGCATGTCATCGAGCAGTCACTGTATAGAAGTGGCTAGAAAGCGAATATATTCAATGTCTCGTATGGTCAGCACATTCTCTAGATCTGAATCCCACTAAAAAAGGTTGGGGTGCTTTGGGCAGGACTTTTGCTGGTCAACAATGTCCTCCCTCAATAAACAAGGACACTCTGATCCATCCAATGACAGAGGAATGGGAAAATTACCCTATCACCTGCTGGACAATGCTGTACAAAAAGTATGGCATGACATGTGGAATCTTGCATCGCCCTCCATGGTGGCCATATCCTGTACTGACATCTCGTGACATCATGCCTGCGGGCAGTAATTGCATTTTTACTTTCACGGATTCAACACAAAAAGACCATTTTGCTCCTTGACATTTTTCAAAATCTTCTGGGTTTCAGAGCACAATAAATGATTTTTATTGTTTTGTCCTAGCATTATTTTATTTCATTTGGAGTAAAACTGCACATACTTTTTTGTATGCTATATAGCTGTTTGTGATCTGTCCTTAGCAATTGTCCACAAGTGTATACATAAGAACTGATTGTATTTTATATGAAACAAGGTCGACCTAAACCCTTATTATTTAATAATAAAAAATTTTTTAAATGCAACCTTTCTATATTCTCTTCTCCATTGCTGCTATGCCAAGATAATTTACAGCTTCACCTGTACTATTTGCTTTACTTGCTGACTGTATCAGTATTTCCAATTATCAGGCCATTATACTAGTAAGTAGTTAAGTAACATAAATTTACTTATAGGACAATAATTTAAATATTGCTTTTGCTAATTCAAACTGCAATTTTCAGAAATCTTTTCATATCAGATTTAGTGTAATCCAGATAAAATATCCAATTCCATTCCCTCAAAACATTCATTTTTGTTGTGAATAAACGAAAAGAAAACTTTACAGTGCAGCCCTATCCAGTATCTCAGTAAATGGCATAGTTTCTAGTTAATGATAAACATCTGAACAACTTTTTTTTTTTTTTTTTTTTTTTTTTTTGTCATTTATGAAAGAAATTTCGTAACAGATATATTCAATTATACTAGTTACTTCTTCATGAATTATTTGAAACATGAGAAACTCAAAGCACATCTGCTATTACAAACATGCATGAAAACAGTAAATATTTGTTAATTTTTATGTGTGTACGCATGCATGTTTGTCAAATATAACTTCTAAAAAATTTGGGACATGACTGATTGCATACATAACTGCTTATAAACCAGCTCCAGCAATTTGAAGTTACTGCTCAAAAAACATTAGAGAAATCTTCAACCTGTGATACTTTTTGTAGGTGTCTGAAATCATAATACCTACAAGTTAATACCTTCATTTTGCAACAGAAATCAAATTTCTGAATTTTATACCAATGCTTGTTATCACATATACAGAACAAGAATGTTCAGTAAACAGTTAGTCTCAGTTGATACTATGAATTTAACAGTTCTAGTTGCTTAATTTGCACAGAATTATACTTATATTGAATATAAAAATAACATCCCACTATATCTGTTTTTAGAAGAAAATAAATAGTTATGGATGTACCTAAACAACAATAATATGTAATGATATGTTATTAGATTTAAAGACATGAATGTGTAGCAGTTATTGAATGTCAATATACTCTTTTTTTTATTGAAGACCAATAAACACGCTACATGCAGTTACCTACATTATTGTAATAGATTCTAAAAATATATACTATACTGTTTTACCTTCTAGCATTATTTGAAATCAATGAAAAAATTAAAAATATGAATTCATAGTTAGATGTTAAAAAGTTACTTTTAAACGACCTTGAAAAATGAAAAAGCATTTTGGATAGCGGAGCTCTACTGTCAGAAAAATAAGATAGCCATATACTTCCTTAACCTATAATTTGTCATGAATTTTCAACATTATTTTAAAATTAATACACACTGAATATCAAAATGTAATTTTAATTTTTCATTATTAACTTACATTGCATATAATTTTATTCACATCTATTGCATAGTCTAAAGACATTAACACATGTCATAGAGAACAAACTTCAGCCTAAACAACAGTAACAAATATACTGTAATTATTTATATATCATATAGAATTTCATGCACAAAAGCAATCAATATTTTGCATAGCTAAACCTTTTCAATATTTCAATATATTTAGCATATTTTAAACTTAAAACTCTTATTTAACCTAATAATGTAAGATTTTTCAAGGGGGGGGAACTAAAAATAATTTTGGTAGATAACTTTATTTTCAAAAATATTTAAATTTTAAAAGATATATTTTTTGACAGCCACAATACTGAAAAATAAAGCTGAATTTAAAAGAAAATATATATCTATAAAATCTGACACAAAATTAACATTTTATGTTAATGAAAACTGTACATATTTTAAAATAAGAATGTTTCAGGTAATGGAAATGTTAAACTCTAGTCATGAAAGGACATTATTTAAACATGTTATGTTTTTAAGCAATGTTATTTAAATAAGCACAAAATTTTAAAAATATCTTCCACTCTTAAGAATTTGGGAATGTTGCAATCAGTTTTCCGCTTCAAAAATCTTCAACCAGCTCAATTTTCTAAATTAACTATGACTCTACACACAGGACACGTGTGATTTATCTGCAAAGAAAATGGAAGTTTTAGATCAAGTACATAAACAACATTGCATGCAATTTTTATCAGTTGTATAACATTTTCTCAACAAAAAATATACCTCTTATAATTCCTATACTTTGAGAAATCACAAATGAAATCTCTATCAACATGAATTGATTTCATATGATATAGTTTTGATTTCTACCTTAATTATATGAAAGATATGAAACTAAAGCAGAATGCTGCTAAAACTAAAATTCAAGTTTTGAAAGAAATGCTTAAATATTAGAGATGGCTTACAGAAAGAGACCTTAAAATAAATGCAAGAAACAAAACAGCTACAAAAGAAACTAACAGTAATCTCACAGTAACTTATTTTTATTTCTTTTATTTTTTCCTCCTTCACAATAGAAGTAGATTGCTTCAATATTGTATGTAGATTGCTTCAATATTCAATAGTTAAAAAATGGAAAAAGCATTTCCTTTTTAATCAATTAAAAATATTAATTTAAAACAGAATATGCTGGTCAGTAGCTTTTGCAAAATGGTGGCAAGAAATAAAGAGATTACACAATTCTTAAAAAGTTTTATTGATTTCATTAAAATATCAGAATTATCAAAAAAATTCTTAAAAGGAGAATTTTAAAATAATTGTTTTCGGTTTAAAAAAAAATGGCAGATAATGATTTTGCAATTATTTTGCTTTAGACTGCAAAGAATTTAGACATTCAAGATTTCAATTGTTCCCCTGGTTGGCTGTACCACTTCCAAAACAGACGCTTGATTTCTTCCTTAGTGATTAGGTAAAGCAAATAAAGTTAAAGAAGGAACAAACAAGAATTTGGCCAAGTAATATAAAAGCATACCTCATGTGATGTATGGATGAAACTGGACTTTTTTACAATATTTTTCCAAGTTGTATCCTTGGAATAAAAGGTGACAAGTGGCATGGTACAGCAAGCAGTAAACAACTTTTAATTGTTGTCCTTGTGTGTAGTGTGTAATGTAACGGCAGTAATAAACATCATCCTTCGGTGATCGGTAAGTCCGAGAAACCATGTTATTTTAAAAACATAAATACTTAAACTCATCATAAGAAAGCTCGGATCGACAGCTCACCATTTTGTAATTGACATTTTTATTATAAAATGTGTTTAATACTCGAATGATGCCTCAAAATAGACATCTTCTTATGATACTGGGCAGATGTACAATCCATAAAATACAGGATCTAAACTTAACCAATGTTAAGGTTCACTTCACCCCAACAAGTAGCCTTCAGCATTTGGATCAAGGATTTACTGAGGTTATGAAGAGTCTTATTGCAAGACTTGTGAGAGCTGCACTTCATGCTGATGAAAAAGAGACAGAAAGTATGTTTAATGCAATAAATGCTGTCGCTGCCCCTTAGAAATCTGTATCATGACAACAGATGCAGAACTATGCTAGCACAGCCTGGAAACATAAAGATGTCTATCCTGTTAATGAGTTGGATGGTGATAATGACACCACTTCACCTGACAAATGAAATAGTCTACAAAATGTTATGAACCTTGATTTTAGTTTTGAGTTGTTTGTAAGTGCAGATGACAATGCTGCCATGTATACTCCTGTGGAATCTTAATGTATCAGCAGTTGTGCCTGAGGTGCGAAAAAAATCATCAGAAAAAAATGAGGTGGACAATATCATTCTGGCCAACCATCACTACATACTGTACAATGTTTTGCTGCAACCTCCAAACTAACTAGTACAGTATGCTGTGATATTACCAAGCATTTTCATACCAAGCATTATCAAGTTACAGTACATAGTAATTAATATAATATTGCGGTAGCACTAATAATATAGTATATTATTAATACAGTACTAATGTATTACTACTATAGTGTAGTACTAATAATGCAGTACACTGAGCAAAAAAAGAGGGTACAGTTCTATATCTCCGGTTCTACTAAGCCGATTGACAAAATTTTAATTGCGTTTTTCATATCTCGAAAGTGCGACTTAGGATATGTATCAGATTTATACATAGCATTATTCTAATACAGGTATTTTGACACAAAATCGCACTTTTTCTCAAATGGCAAGCCATAGTTTTCCCATATTTCAATTCTACGACTCATTTTATGGCTAAATATCAAATTTTGCAAAATATAAAAATTTATTTTTATTATAAAATAAATCCATTTTTTTTTTTTCAGTTTGCACCCAGAAAACTTCACTTGTCAAACTTCTTAATTTATAGCAACCTAATTTCATTCCCTTTTTTCATTTCAGATGAGTGAGGAAAAGGTCATTGTTCATACTTTAAAATAATTTTAACAAAGTGCATAAAACCACATATGGTGTTATTATCACTAAAAACAAATATGCGAAATTCCAAAACGTGGCAATATGCAAATTCATGTAAAATCTTTGAAAATTTTGAATCAAAAACTGTTAATTTTTTGCAGATGTGCCTAGAAATACATCTACTTTAAGATGTTCAAAATTGAATACAAATTTTAAAAATAAATCATAAAAAATAGACGAATTTTATTTGGAATGAAGATAAACTTCGAAATGTGAAAAGAAGAATAAAATGCTTAATAAAAAAAAAGATATTAACAAATATATATCAAATTAAATTTAAATTTTAACAAACATGTAAATACGTAAAAAAGTAAATTTAAAGTTAAAATAATTTTTAAAAAAATTAAATTTACATTGAGGAGCTAAAATTTTTAGAGCTAAGTTTTTAAAAACTACTCGCATAATTTTTACAAAACTTGGCAGTTTGGCATAATTTGAATCATAGAATCGAAATATGAAAAAAATTGATGTCATTTCAGAAAAAGTCCGATTGTGTCAAAATACCTATATTAGAAAAATGCTATGTCTAAATCTAGTATTATATCCTAAGTCACGCTTTTGAGACATGAAAAACGCAATTTAAATTTCGTCAATCGGACCAGTAGAACAAGAGATATAAAACTGCCCCCCCCCCGATTTTGTGCAGGGTACATTTGATGTAGTGTTTTCTGCAATGATATACATAATATGCTGTACTATTTATGTAACTATATACTGTAAATGGTTAATACATAGAAAAAAATTATTCCAAAAATAAAATTTTGAGCCCCTTGTGATTCATGTTAACAAGTGTTTATTTATACCAAGTACAGATATGCAAAGTTATAAAACTTCAGTAGCTCGAGTCTACAATTAAAGATGTAGCGCTGAAAAGTAAAACTGAAACCGTTAAAATGGCCGATGATTACTTTATGTTAAAATACATTATATTCAAAACAATAATGCAGAAACATGTAAATTCATTAAAAAATTTTAAAACTTACTTTTAACCAAGGATCAATACATGGTGTATGAAACTCATGAAAGCACGGAAGTATCCGTAATATATCTCCAGTCTCGTAATCACTTAGACAGACTTGACATTCTTTATTTAAATCTACTCTCTTGTGTACAACTTCAGTGGTAAAGCCAGCTGCAGCTGAGTTAGGGCTGACATACCTCCTAGTTGGAAGTCTATTGATTTGTGCTTTATGCAAACCATGAGATACAGCTTCACCATTCAAATCCGCAACACTCAAGAAAGCCTAAGTTGCAAATAAATAGAATATTATTTTTTCGTTGAAAATGTATGTCAGCGATTCTCAACCTTTTGACTAATACATACCATCTAAACAAAAATTCAGAAACTTTAGTACCACCAATACATTTTACAATGATTATTTTTCAATTTCTCCATAGAAATATTTTTAAAAAATATATTTTGCCATTTGCACAACGTACTGGGTATTTGTATTAAATATGCACACATAAAAAAATATTAGATTAAATATTGGTTACGATTTTAATTATCAAAATTTAAGAATACTTAATTTTTTCACTTTGAATTTCACTTTGAATTTTAAAATTCAAAGTGAAATTCGGGCCTGCTTAAGAGAGACAAATTTCTTTGTGTCTAGTCTTATTTCACTTAGTTTTAACCATAAATTAGGATCCACTTTCATTTTGTTTTGTATTTACTTTTCAAATATAGCATGGAAAAGAAAAATCTTTATTCACACAAATAAGTTATGCAAAAAGGAAATAAAAAATTTAATAGCTTTATTTGAAATGCTTTGAATTCTTTTTTCTGGTTCAGCCAAAACATAACAAATGTACTATTTTTGAAATATTCAATTAGAGCTCCATCATGGAAAATTTCTATCAATAGTTTCTTTTTTTTTTTTTTTTTCAGGAGATAAAATTTCAGACATAGACATTTTAGACAAAATGAATTTCTAATCGAATTTTCTTTTTCATTTTTCTTGGGAAAACACGTGTTGAAATTATTTATCAATGAAAATCATTGATTTTTGTCGAATGTTAATTCTTCTTTTATTTTCAAAAAGTATTATTAGCCAATTCTTTGATTATTAGCTTTGAGTTTTTTATCATTACATTTATTTTCTCTCTAATGGTAAACAAATAAGTACTTTTTCCTTGTAATCTTAAACTTAATTCATTTAATTTTCCAAAAATATCAGCTAAATATGCTAACTAAATGTGCCAACTATAATTCACTAAATAAACATTTTTGCAATTCAAATTTTGAATCACAGAGGAAAAATTGAATTTTTGATGGAAGTTCAAAAAGACGATTTAAAACTTTGCCTTTGAGGTACCTTTGATACACAGTGAGTATTTCGATACAACCACTTTCCTTCGGAATATAACAAAAGTGTTTCATGTTCACTGCCCATCTCTTGCCATAAAATCATACATATTCTTGAATTTAAAGCTTGACTTTTAATAAAATTAACAATTTTCAGGTTTTCGGGGGATTGTTTTGAATAAATTAAACGTGTGATATTCTTTATTTGAGAAATAACACCAGAATGTTTTCCTGTTAAAGCCCAAGTTCTATCACTGCATAGGGCAATGCAATTATTCCAAGAAATATGATTCCCTGACATAAAATTGTTGATTAATTTGAAAATTTCATTTGCAGTTGCTCTATCATAAAGAGATTCACAAAATAAATACTCTTCATCAATTTGTTTACCTTCTTCGAAACGTATGTAAACTAATAATCGAACAAAGTTCAATATATCAGAACTTTCATCCAATTGTAATGCAAAATACTCACTACGTTTTATTTTTTGAAAAAGTGTCTCTCTTATAGAATTTGCAATTTCATGAATTCGTCTACTTACTGTATCACTTGATAACAGAATATTATTACGTTTTTTGCTTAATAAGCTTTTTCGTTGAATGATGTTAAAACGAGACTTTTAACCGTTGGTAATATAAGGTGTTCTTCATTAGTGTTAGCCTACCCATTCTTTGCAATTCTTAGGCTTACTATGTAACTAGCTTCCACAGCTTTTTCACTTGAAGTAACAAAACCCTTCATTACTCATTTACTATTTTTTAACTCTGATAATTTCTTCTTACAATATTCATCAGATTTATCCTTTAAACTGGTATGCTTAGATGCAAGATGGCTTTTAAGAAATTATGGTTTCATGCTTTGACTGGATAATACTTCACCACAAACAATACATTGAGGTTGGGTCTATTTCATCTCCATTCCAAGCAAACCTTAAATGATAAATAAATTTCATTATATTTTCTAGAGACAATTTTTCTTTCCTTTTCAATAATCTCAAGTGTTAGTAGATTGTTCTGGGTCATCATCTGTGAATCATTACTTTTTTGCTAAGTAAAACTTAGCCATTTTTCCCTTTTGAAAATCTAGCTTTGTTTTATTATGTTTTCACAAATATTTAAATGCACAATATATTACGAGTAAAACAAATGATGATATTCTCAAATCACACAGAAAAGTAAAGAGTACAGAGCAACAAGAAATCAAAATACTTACCTGCTGTTAAAGACAGCAAATCTAAGTTAAAAAAAAAAAAAAAAAAATTCTAATTGAAAATAGAGCAATATGAGCCTGGAAATCGTGGCAACATAACATGTAGCCATGCTAATATATTGATCAACTCTAAAAAAATTAATGATATATTATTATCTTTTTAAAGGAACTTACTTTTGTTCCCTATTAAATACAACATACATTTCTATTAATTCTTTTAAAAACATCATTGGTGATGAATTTTATTATGTGTATGGGTAAAAGAATATTTGTGAAAATAAAACCGGATTACTTGGCTAAAATCTGTGAGCGGCTATTGACCTTGAACAAAGGTCAGATCGCATAAATTTACGAGTGTTAAAGAAAAAAAAAAACTTAAACAGGGTGTTGGGGTACTTAATTTTTGAATTAAATAGTTAAAAATACTTTGTTTCTTTGCATACCACCTATTTTTCTTTTGTGTACCACCAGTAGTACGTGTACCGCCGGTTGAGAATCGCTGATGTATGTCATATAATTTAGATTTTCTATATAAAATGAATCAACTTTAAATACCTAACACAAAACAAATAAAAAGAGCATTTTCAAGAACAGACTAATTAACAAACATAATCAGAAAGTTGTGAGTGAGAGAAAAAACATGACTAGATCACTTTCTAGGTAAACACACACTATATAAATTGATCACGAGTGACTCCAAATACTAGGATATTCAAATATCTCCTTGATTTATGGATTTTTCATACTGTGATTTCTATGATAAGTCACCTTTGATATTCCAGTATAATCTAAATACTGTTAATGATATGTGTGACACCTGTGACTATAACTTGCAAGCAAGAAATGCTTTGTTTTGTGGAATAATTCCTGTTTTAATGGGCAAAGGCATCTCAAGCTTCCAAATTTTGACTAAGCTTCCCAAATAATATCTTTCTTATTTTACTTTTGCACATTTAAGGTCTATGAAAATACACCAGATTTTACATCTGAATGCAGTTTTTTGAAACCTTGCCTAATTTTAAATGTAGGCTTTTGAAAGCAAATAAAGTGGCTGCTTTTTAATTTTTGTAAACCTGAAATTTCACCCTTCTCTCTACTACCTTGAATTGCATTTTTTATACACTCTACTATCTGCAATTTTCCTATATCCGACAATAGACACTTCCCAAACTTTCTGGATAGATGAACTTTTTTTTTTTTTTTTTCTTTTCTTTCTGTCACATAAAGGCAGGTGGAATGTGCAGCCACATCCTCGTTATAGTTTATATTTAGCTTCTTGTGACATCACAGCATTGATGCATGCCTCGCCACATATTTTCTTTGGAAAAGTGGATAAAACAGCTTTCAGATTTCCAGGAAAGACGCATTTGCAAAACAGTAAGATTACTTCAAGTAATAACATGTTTGATGATCATACGTAACCATTCCACTTCTTCATTTTATTCTACTGAGACATACTTGAATTCCCTTAATATATGTGATCCTTTGCTAATTCCACTTCTTCATTTTATTCTACTGAGACATACTTGAATTCCCTTAATATATGTGATCCTTTGCTAATTGCATTCCGACCTCCCTTGTAAATTGTACACTTCGGTCTACACATTAGGAAATTTTTAAGTTTGCCCTAAATCTAGCTATAATTGTTACATAATCCTAGTTTATTCATTTTTCCAATTATCATGCACACAACGTATTTTCATTTTAAATAATATATATAGATATATATATAAACTGTTATAATAATGCTCTAAATAAAAAAAAATAAAAAAAAGCAAAGGAATCAATCTTCATTTTAAGTTCAAAGACTGATTTCTCTACGCTAAACAATCACATCTTATGAAGTTTATTCAGTTCTTATGTTATTTAGTTCTTATGAATATTACAAGTTCCTCTAAGCTAATAATGCAAAGTTTGCAGCCCCCGGACAGTATGGAGGTTAGCAAAACCTTGTTACTAATGCTGGATTTCAGTTCAAATCCAGATTTTTCTCTTTGTAGAATGAAAAAATTTAAAATATAAAAATTTTTAAAAAATTCTCAAGAAATTAGTCCTAATGGAAGGGGGCAATGACAAATTATGAAGAGCGATTGAAGTTTTTTTACATGCTATATCCGCAACTTACATCTTTTGATTAACAAACTAAATGATGAATACATTCAAACTACTGACAATATGATTGAAACAAGTTTGGGGGAATCTCCATTAATTTTAAAGTCAACAGGATTTTGTAATCAGCTACAATATTTTACTTTTGCACATTTAAGGTCTATGAAAATACACCAGATTTTACATCTGAATGCAGTTTTTTGAAACCTTGCCTAATTTTAAATGTAGGCTTTTGAAAGCAAATAAAGTGGCTGCTTTTTAATTTTTGTAAACCTGAAATTTCACCCTTCTCTCTACTACCTTGAATTGCATTTTTTATACACTCTACTATCTGCAATTTTCCTATATCCGACAATAGACACTTCCCAAACTTTCTGGATAGATGAACTTTTTTTTTTTTTTTTTTTTTTTCTTTCTTTCTGTCACATAAAGGCAGGTGGAATGTGCAGCCACATCCTCGTTATAGTTATATTTAGCTTCTGTGACATCACAGCATTGATGCATGCCTCGCCACATATTTTCTTTGGAAAAGTGGATAAAACAGCTTTCAGATTTCCAGGAAAGACGCATTTGCAAAACAGTAAGATTACTTCAAGTAATAACATGTTTGATGATCAT